GAGAGAGAGAGAGAGAGAGAGAGAGAGAGAGAGAGAGAGAGAGAGAGAGAGAGAGAGAGAGAGAGACACATACATATATATAGATAGATAGACAGACATATAGATAGATAGACAGACATATAGATAGATATATAGATATATAGAAATAGAGGAAGGGAGTTAGATATGTAGTGAGAGAGAGAAAGAAAAAGCGAGCAAGCGAGACAGAGAGAGAGAGAGAGAGATTAATCCTCCCTCTCTCTTCTTTCTTTTTCTCTCTCTCACTCTTTCTCTATCTTCTCTTTCTTCCCTCTCTCTATATCTAGAGAGAGAAAAATAGACAAACAGTACACGTGTTTCAAGTAAAACATACAAACCTTTAAAATGAATAGAATGTACATAAAACAAATATAACCCCCCCCCCAAAAAAAAAAAAAAAAAAAAAAAAAAAACATTTAACTTACGAAACGCATCTTTGAAGTCTACGTTTGACATTTCGATTTGTGTCCTTTTAAGAAATTGCATCAGCTGAGGTACAGTATTTCTCATCCAGGGACATTTTCCTTCACATTCATGTACACTTTGGTTACAACCGTTACGGGAAATGATTCGAATGCGTTGTTAGAACCCCGACTTCGGCGTTGATGATAATTCGTGTAATCACTGAATTGCGGCTTTATCTTGGTGTAATGTATATGAAAATGTGTATGAAATTATAGTGCGAGTAATAGTTAGTTTGTTTATGCTTTTGATAAGATTTCGTTAATTTCGTTTGGTTGCGAAAGAAGTTAGAAATATTTAAATCCAAAGTCTGGGCTCTAGCAACGCATTCGCACGTTTTGTCGTAGTGGTGGTGATTTTAACAAGCAATTTCTCTCTCCTATGCTAGTTTCGTGGCCTATATTTTATTCGGTTACCCTGTATTTATTATTGGTTCTCGATATCAAATTCATACACACGAATTTCTGTGTTTACATTCAAACACATGATCATGCGTACATACACCCACACAGACATACACAGACATTATATAGAAATACACACAGACACAGCCGTAGAAGCACATACAGACATAGACGTAGAATCATACACAGACATATAAACAAAAACAGACACATAAACGGACGCAGATAATGTATATATGAAAATGAACTTAACAAGACAGGATATATTCTTGAATTCTAGAATATACAGATATCAGATACCGAAACAGCCCAATCACATCTCTAACAATTCATTTTATCCTCATTCACACTTTTGCTATATTTGTCACACATACTGTACATATTCATAAATATATATACGTACACACACACACACACACACAAATATATATATATATATATATATATATATATATATATATATATATATATATAATTTATATATATATACATATATAGATACATACATACATATATATATATAGTATATATATATAATATATATAATATATATATATGGATACTCACAATATATATTTATGTATATACATATAAGAATGATAATATATATATTTTATACATAAACACACGCACACCCACATATATGAACACTTTGTTACTCCAAGCACCACTCGTCCCACTGACCTCCACCGACACTTCCCGAACGCTGCAACGGAGGCGAAGAACCCTGTGTTATCTCGACCGACGAAGCAACAGGTATGAGCAAGACGCTGTCCGAAGCCAAACCTTTATATGCAAGGGACTCCGCCCACTTTGCGTGACGTCACACACCCCAGCCCCGCCCACTGTTTTCCGGAATCCTATTTCTAGTCGCCAGCGTCAGATCCATTAACTCCCTTCTCGTATTAGGAATGATATGATTGTAATATTAGGGTTATTATGCGGATCATCAGTCAGGTTTTGCTAATGAATCAGGCCGCAGGTGCTGACTCCACGCTCGTTAATGTGATGATCAATCTCCTTGCATCTTCTCTCTCTCTCTCCCACTCTCTCTTTCTCTCTCTTTACGCACCTTTTTTTTCTCTCTCTCTTTAAGCATGTTTTTTTTTCTCTCTCTCTCTTTACGCATCTGTTTCTCTCTCTCTCTCTCTCTCTTTACGCATCTGTTTCTCTCTCTCTCTCTCTCTTTACGCATCTGTTTCTCTCTCCATCTCTCTCTCTCTCTTTACGCATCTGTTTCTCTCTCCATCTCTCTCTCTCTCTCTTTACGCATCTGTTTCTCTCTCCATCTCCGTCTCTCTCTCTCTCTTTACGCATCTGTTTCTCTCTCTCTCTCTCTTTACGCACTCTCTCTCTCTCTCTTTACGCATCTGTTTTCTCTCTCTTCTCCATTACGCATCTGTTTCTCTCTCTCTCTTTACGCATCTGTTTCTCTCTCCATCTCTCTCTCTCTATATATATATATATATATATATATGCACACACACATACACACACACACACACACACACACACACACACACACACACACACACACACACACACACACACACACACATATATATATGTGTGTGTGTGTGTATACATCTATATCTATATCTATCTATCTATCTATCTATATGTACATATATGTACATATTTATATACATATCTCTCTCTCTCATACATTACCTTCTGCCAGGTAATGGAATTTTGAATATGCATATTAATTCAATGCATCTGAATCGCCCTTTGTCTCTTTGAGCCATTATTATGATAATGGAAATGATAATGGTATATAAATGATACTATCATTACTACTACAAAAATTAAAATGATGCTAACAATGATAATAAAAGTGGCAATGGTGATGAAATGATAGTAATAATGCTAATAGTGGTGATAATTACAGCAATATTGATAGAAATGTAAGAATATCTCTAAATGTACTAACAAGCACACGCTTTCTCCATCGCTAATTCTCTCCATTTCTTTCTCTCTTCCTTCCATTCCCTCTACTCGCCTCTCTCACATCCCCCCCTCTCTCTCTTTCTCTTCCTACATCTCTTCACACTCCCCACCCCCTCTCTCCTTTCCCTTTCCCCTATCCTCTCTACATCTATGTCCCTTCTCATTGATCTATCTCCCAGAGCCACTTCCTTCACTTAGACACGCACCTCGCACACACACACACACACATAATCACATTTCCCATTTCTCGCTGTGACAATTTTCTCTCTGCAGGTAACCATCCAAAGAGAGAGAAAAAAACAGAGAGTGAAAGGATGATAGATAGATAGATATAGATAGAGAGACTGAGAGAGAGAGAGAGAGACAGAGAGAGAGAGAGAGAGAGAGAGAGAGAGAGAGCGAGAGAGAAGAGACGAGAGAGAGAGAGAGAAGAGAGAGAGAGAGAGAAGACAGACAGACCTAGAGAGCGAAAAGAAAAAAAAAAGAAAGAGAGACAAGCAGAGAAAGAGAGACAGCCAGAAATAGAGAGAGAGAAAAAAAAGAGAGAAAGAGAGACAGAGAGAGAGAGAGAGAGAGAGAGAGAGAATTATTACAGTCATCACGCTGATAAATAGTTTCCCTCAATACGGCTAAGAGGAAAATGCAATTCTTTTTACACGAAGTCGTTCTGATTCCGAGTTGGAAGGGATACATCCGTTTCTCGCCTCCGTTTCCTTCGCCCGTTTTCTATTCAGGGCATTGAGCGTGGGAAATCTATTTCGTTGCAGCCACATGAAAAGCCTTTGGGAATTTATTGGGAATGTCTAAATTGTGATGCACATCTATCTATCTATGTTTCTATATCTATTTTACATACACATTTGTCTGTTTGTGTTTTTTATTGCATTGTCTTAAGAGGAATTCTGATTGTATGTATGTATATATGTATATCTATCTATCTATCATTTATCTATATATATACGTTGGTATGTGTGTGTACATACGTACATATATACAGACATGCACACACACACATTTATACACACTTGTGGGTGTATATATGTGTATATAAAAATATTATATAATATATATATATATGTATATATGTATATGTGTGTGTTTGTGTTTATATGCACACACACACACACACACACACACACAACCACACACACACATATATATATATATATATATATATATATATATATATATATATATATATATATATATATATATATATATATATATATATATTTTTATGTATGAATATACATGTATACAAATATATAAATATATATTATACATGCATATATATGATGTATATATTATATTTACACACACACACACACACATATATATATAGTAAGTAAAAATATATATGTTTGGTTATCGGCGCGCGTTCGAATTCAGTGTATGATGATAGTCGTTGCCAAATTGAACGAATTCGAGGAGCCTCATCATGTAAAAGAGGGTTCCAAAAGGTACGATTCAAAACTAAGATCTTAATGTTAACATATAACTGTAAGATAGTGTTAACTTCTAATTTTTAAAATTGCATAAAATTTATTTAAAATTTAATGGGCAATTGTGATGTCTGAGATTTTGTAAACGTTGATCTTATATTACAGATTACTGAAGACTTCATCAGTTCAACTACAATACCCGACTCATTTTTTTCATATTTTTTTTTTGTAACAATTATACAAAGATGTCTGTCGGCTTCTTTTCCAGGTTATATTTTTGTTTCCTAGCAGATGATATTTTTGTTTCTTAACTGTTTTGTAGACATTATTTTTGTTTCCTAGCTCACTCGAATCTGACATTTGCCATTCAAATTAGTTTTCAATGCTCGTGGTTTTTACTTTTAATCCTATTGATTTACTATGCATTCATTTATCAGTTTATCTATCTATTCTCTAAATTATTACTCATTTTCGATCATATTCAGGAGACATGTGTTTAGTTTAGTTTCCACAATAATACTGAATAATTGCTTTTCCAATTTCTTTGTATCTTTATTGATTTTATTTGTCCGACTTTTATATAACAAATAATTATATCTATAATCACGAGTATTCATTTTTTCTATGAAACCTATATCCAAACATTTCCTCCTTGATAGAATGTCTGTAACTGATCTGTAATTTACCCTCTCATAAAAAAGTTACATAATTTACCTCTTGATAT